TTATCAAAAAAATTAACTAGAAAAAAGAAATAACCCGAGATTTTGTATGTTAGTATGTATTTTGTACATGATCGGTGTGAGATAACTTAATACGTCCCACAAGATGTTTATTCGTTAGAGCAGACTAATCTTGATTATAGTTTATGTTTTCATTGTTGAGACATCTTGAAATCTTGTTTATCTTGATGGGTCGCTAGTCGCTACTAGGGGGCACCAGGGTGTGGCTGGTGTGGTGTGGGATGAGCTGTCGGCTGAGGAGTCTGGAGTCCTGGTCAATGGTGTCGGCTGAGGCTGCAAAGGGGTAGTGGCAGTAGAGTGAGTTAAGGGAGAGCGAACTAGGGTGTCTTGGGGTGCGGCTGGGGGGAAGGCAGAGGTAGGAGGGGTAATGTCTGGCCACTCGAGGGCTGCCCGATCGGGTCGGCAGTGAGAGTGGTGCTCCATGGCCATACGAGAGGAGAGTGTGGTGGCGGTGAGTGCACGAGACTGGGATAGGGAAAAAGGTGTTCAAGAAATTGGACGTCACTGCTTATATAGACACGGCCAGTCCGGGGATCCAGGCAACGATAACCTTTATACCCCGGAGCGTACCCAAGAAAGACACAACGTATAGACCATGGAGACAACTTATTTGAAGAACTAACAATAATGTTAGGAAAGCAGGCACAACCAAACACACGTAAAAAGGAGGACCCAAAAGGAGGAAGGAAGATGCGAGTCTATAAGCATGGTTCTAGACAATTCAAGTAAATGTCTATGTTTGTGTTCTGCCACACCATTCTGTGCAGGAGTGTCCGGGCAGGCATGATTTTCGAAAACGAATGCCATGATTTAGAAAATGAGAGTGAAAAGAGGAATTGACAAACTCACCCCCTCCATCACTCTGAAAACATTTAATTTTGCAATTAAATAAATTTTCTACAAGTTTCTGAAAATGACAAATATTAGTAAAAACTTCAGACTTGTAATGCAGAGGATAAATCCAAGTAAAACGAGAGAAATCATAAATAAAAGAAACATAATATTTAAATCCTAAATTTGATAAAACAGAGGACCGCCAAACATCAGAGTGAATGAGTTGTAGAGGAGCAATGCAAGTATGAAAAACATTCTGAAAGGGAAGACGGTGGGACTTGCCCAGTTTACATGAAACACAATTGTGAGAAAAATTACTAGTACCAAAAATTAAATTATTTTTCCTAAGAAGAGACAAGACACGATCCCCACAATGTCCAAGACATTTGTGCCAAACATGGCCTGGAACTAGTGTAGTCTTTAAAGCAGGAGAGGATGTGGACGGTTGGATGACTTGAAAAGGGTAGACAGAGTCTAGACTGGAGGCCTAGAGTAGAATGGTTCCCGTGTGGTTGTCCTTAATAGAAAAAGAATTTTTATTAAAAATTATTGAACAATCATTATCCGCACATAAACGTTGAGTAGATAATAAAGTATACTTGAGATGTGGAACATGAAAGATAGTATTTAATTTAAGCAGGCGACCAAGTGTAGATAAATTAATATTGCCAATTGTTAAAATTGGGATTCGAGTACCATTAGCAACTTGAACAGAAAATGAGCCAGGAGAAATAAATTTATTAGAAAAAATACCTTCGTGTGGCGTCATATGAGCCGATGCTCCAGAATCAGGATACCATACAGACTCGTTTGATTTACCCGTAGGAAAAGCCGCCAGTGCTGGTGTAAGAGCAGAGTGACCTGAAGAAAAACATAGCTGACAGACTACAAGGGGTGGAGGAGACTGAAAAGAAGTCTCAGCTGATGGAAAACCTGTAGAATAAGGGTGAGTACCATAATAAAGTAATGCATTAGTACATGATAAAACGCGACGAGAATTACAAATAGCCTTACCAGGAACTCCGAGAATGGACTGCCCACGCGGACCTGGTGGCCAACCCTGTAGCTGATGGCCGTATGCTGTAGCAGGAGAACCGCCATAAGCAGCACCTGGTGGAGCACCGTAAGCACCCTCGTCCTGTCCACGACCTCGACCGCGGTGACCCCTGCCTCTGCCACCATGGTGGTTGCCCCGGCCACCATTATTACGATGCTGCCCCCCTCCACGAGCAGGTGGACGAGCTGCATTGGCTGTGTGATCTGTGGCAGCAAAGGCCTGGTGTTCAGGTTGATTTTCTTCACTCCGGAGGTAAATAGCCCTCTGCTCTAACGCCAAGAGATGAGGACATAGGGAATCCAGTGTAAAATAAGATGGAAAGAAGGTAATTGAGGTAATGAGAGACTCATAACCCCTTCCCAATGGTGTGATAGTGGACTGAAGAAGATCATGATTGCTAATAGGACAATTTATCATAGCTAATGCATCCACAAGAATTTTGATTTCCCGTAAATATTCATCCATGGATTGAGATTTCTTCTTCTTTAAAGAGGATAAAAGACGTTTGAGTTTCATGGCCCGGGCTAAACTAGCTTGCATAAAGCGAGTTTCCAAACGCTCCCATATTAAAGCAAAAAATCGTAAATCATGCACTTCAATTAAAATATTACGGGAAAGAGTAGCAAACAACCATGACCGAACAGTTTGGTCAATTTTGAGCCAATAATGATATTCCAGGTTTGGAATTTCTCGATGAAGATTATCAAAAGTAGTAGGCATGGGGGATGCAATACTACCGTCTAAGAAGCCCAATAAGCCATGAGAGACCATGAAGGACTCAAATTGAGTACGCCATGGCAAGTAATCCTCAACCGCATCCAAGCGAGTAGTGACAATATTGGTAACGTTGGGGATTGAGAATGATAATTGGGACGATAACGTAGAAAGAGATGTTGGTGTTACCGTAAACCCAGACAATCTAGACGGTGAAGAACCTTCTTGTGGTTGTATTCTAGGTTGGCCAGAAAATGTTGGGCCAGAGAAGGGCACCGGAACACGCTGGCCAGGAATCATAGGCATGGCAGTTGCAAGGTAAGCAGGCGCAGCACACTGTGCAGACCCAGTGGGAGCCCAATAGAATGGTTCAGGCATATTTAACAGCCTATACGAACTAGGAATCAGCGATGGAGGCAGCGTGAATCATGACGGCGAAGGAAGAGAAGAAGACACCGTGTCGGAGGAAGAGCCTTGTTCGAAGGTTGTAACGATAGAGGTTGAGATGTTGGTGCCGAGTATGACCGGTGGCTGCGAACCGGAGGTGACAGGCGGCTGGACCGTCGGTGAGGGCACCGCGGAAGTGAGCGAAGGATTGTTCATCTTGAATAGGTGTTAGGGTTTGAAACCAAAGCGACTGATACCATGTAGAATATTATGGGAATAATGGCTTACCAATGTGGTAGCCCTGGCCTTGTATTTATATTAATAAGACAAAATACCGTTCTGATGGCTCTATAGAGCGCCATTAGGCTCGTTTAGTTGCTCAATGGTTTAATCAACAGGCTGGGATATATTTCTCCGAGACTTTTAGTCCTGTGGTTAAACCAACTACTGTTCGTCTGGTTCTCTCTGTTGTTATTTCTCTAGGTTGGCCCGTCCGTAATTAGATGTTAAAAATGCCTTTCTCTACGGCAACCTCAATGAGAAAGTCTATATGTGTCAGCCTCCGGGTTTTATTCATCCTTCTTATCCCCATCATATTTGTCATATACGTAAAGCTCTTTATGGTCTTAAGCAAGCTCAAAGAGCTTGGTTTCACCGGTTCAGTGGCTTCCTTCTCTCTTAAGGTTTTTCTCAGATTCAATCTAACTCCTCCATGTTCACTTTTAGCTCTCAGGCCATCATTGATCATTTTATTATTCTTTTGTCTAAACAATTTGCTATGAAAGATTTGGGCAGTTTACATTATTTCCTTGGCATACAAGCTCTTCGTACTCCCAAAGGTTTATTTTTGTCACAACATAAATATGTTTTTAACCTTTTACGCCGTTTTCATCTCCACATGGTCAAGTCTGTCAAAACTCCTCTACCCTCTCGCACTACATTATCTCTCAGTGATGGAGAACTTTTGAGTGATGCTACCGAGTATCGTAGTATGGTAGGTGTGTTACAGTACTTGACTATTATTCGACCTGATATTACTTATGTCGTTCACCTGATTTCTTAGCTTATGCACACTCCACGTACTACTCATTTGGCTGATGTTAAGCGTATTTACAGGGTACTTTGACACATGGTTTGTGGCTTTGGTCCGGTCAGAAGATTACGGTGGTTGTCGCCTACTAAGATGCTGATTGGGCTGGATGCCCAGATAGTTATTGCTCCACCACGGGATATGCTATTTTTTGGGAGGCAATCTTATTTCTTGGAGATCCAAAAAGCAATCGACTGTCTCCAAGTCATCTACCGAAGCCGAATATAGGGCTGTGGCATACACCGTTCACGATACACTGTTCATTCGCTCTCTCCTGGCAGATATGGGCATCTTCATTTCTGATCCGGTTAAGCTATTCTGCGATAATGTCTCTGCTTCTTATCTTGCAGTTAATCTTATTCAGCATGATCGTAGTAAACACATCAAAATTGATTACCATTTTGTTCGAGAACGAGTAGCTCATGGGGAGCTCGTCGTCAAATACATTCCTACTCAGTCACTGCAAGAAATTTGGTCTTTTGTGTAGACAAAAAGTCGATGCAAAAGAGCGAAAGTCGGCGCTAATACGTTTTTTGTGTCAACATGTCGACGCAAACCGGTCGACGCAAATACCGCCACGCGAATAATGCTTTTGCGTCCACAACGTGTGACGCAATTAATAAAATATTATTCGCATCGACATCTGGATGGAAAAGATCTTGCGAAAGTAGTCATGCATAAAGTCAACGCAAAAAGTGATAGTTTATTTGTGTCCACGTGTCGAAGCAAATAATACCATCATTTGCGTCCACTAGCCAATGCCAAAGCCGTGCAGTCCTTTTTTAATATATTATGTGCGTCGACATGTTGACGCAAATAACACTACACACCCATTTAATAATTCCACATTGTCTATTGCTATTCATACACAACTTGTATTAATAACCAATGTTACCAAAACCTGTTCAAACGCCAATAATATCAACAACACATAAATTCATTAAATGTCACAGTAAAAGCAAGTTATCCTACAACGAAGTTTCATTAATTCATTACAAACAACATCACAAAATGTAAACATAAATTAATCCATATTCATCTTAACCAAGTAAAATGCATATTCAACTCGATATTATCAATCTTGATCGTCTTCATTGAGACTCTGATCAGTTTGGTTAGCACTTGTTGAATGAACATCATTTGCGGAGCTGCGTGGACGAAGTTGAAAGCGAGGAATAAATTGTTGTAGGGCACGGAGCATGAGCTCCTGATTTTCTTGCATCGACTCTTGATTTGCTTTCAATTCACTTATTTGAACATCACGGTGGTCTTGGAACGTTGAAGTAGCGCCATCTTCCATTCTTCGAGATGCACCCTTTGATAGGGTAGGACCCACTCCGCTTTGGCGTCCGCGGTGTCTTTTCAAGTTCCGATTCATAATATCAATTTCATTTATTAAAGACGATGACCTTGTTTGTCCTAGCTGTGTCTGGTACTCCTCGCTCATTTGAATCTATCAAATTACAATTCATACAGTTACATATCATTATGATTACACTTAATTTTTTTTTAAATATACTTACATATTTTTCATGTGCTTCTTTAGTTCTCCATTCGCCACTACGAGTCAAACGTTGATCTTTTCAATTTTCAAGAGCCATGTACTGCTCACCAATTTATGGATCATCCTGTTTAATATTCATTATAATTGTCAATATCCAAAATAACATGAATGGTCAATAACTGACATTAACTTGAAATTAGTTGCTTGAAATTTTAACATCTGGTCGATCAGTAATCACTACCACAACAATAAGAATTCTACTAGTAAATATAATCTTTGAAAAACTGAAGCTTTTAACCCGCAAAACTAACGTAGAAATAGATGATTAAGCGATATACATGGTGCTAATTAAAATATATACAACATGTGAACTATATATAGACTAAGGCCTTAGGGACACCCCTGAAACAAAAATTGTATCACAACAAAAAAAAACACAAAGAAATATGCAAAACATCTGCACCATACTTAAAAAACTGCACCCAATTAAACTACAATATAACATAAAAACTATCAAGGAGACTACAACATACATTCATATGTCATCAAACACCAGTCACAAATACATGTAATCATCCGATCACTACCACATATCACAACTCAAAATGAAATAACAAAAATTCATTCCTTACTTTTTCGTGCATGTATTGGGCATATTATTTTCTCTCATGCCCACTTTTATCATCACTTGCTTCTCTATTTTGCAGGTTTTTCAACGAAATTTCCTGTGTAAGTATGAAACTAAGTCAAACATTAGAACATTAAATGTATAATGAAAAAGAAATACACTCATACTAAACCTTGAACTTCGTAGAATTGAATCTCTCACAACACCTTTGCCAATGATCATCACTTCGTACGTTTATAGGTCTCTTAGCTTGCACTCCTCCATTGTTCTTGAAATACACAGATAAATCACTTTTCCAATCATTGTAACACTCTCGAGCATCTCGAATCAATACTTCATCAAAAAGCTTGTCATTATCATACTCAAACCAGTCCTACAATATGTGAAACATGATCTCTATTAGAAATAAATAAATTTAAATTAATAAACCCAACCGTAAAGTTTTTTTTATAATTACCAACATCCTATGTCGAATCATAGCCTTTTGGCAGGCTGCAACATCGTCTCACAACAGTCCCGAGTGTGTATCCCTATTGCGCTTGACCAGCAAGAAGCTTTTGGCCCTACTGCCTTCCACGTTTTCCTTGCTGAATCAAATTGATATAATCTCATAATACATTATGTGTTTTTTTTACTTGGTTGGAACAAAAATCTGCTAAACAATCTTAAATTACAAACATCTTTAATTGGCCTGCTGCATTATATACATTATGTCTGGTTTTCAATTCCAGACATCAAATCCCAATAATAGTTTAACATTTTTTAGTATTTAGTACTCATAAAGCATAGATTTTTTTAGCTTAAATCCTAGGAAACCATCTGCTTGAAATATACTAGAAAGGCCACATGTAAGATTCTCCAGAAAAGCAGATGCCGCAATAGCACTAGAAAGGCTCACATTATCTACATGCTTTAAAGTGGAAACCATCTGCTTGAAATATACTAAGGACTTCTTAGGCTGATTGTTATAAAAACACCCATTTCTCTGAAAACGTTCTCTGATGAGTTCAAATCAATACATTTTGCATAGATACCAATAAGAGCATTGCCTAAAATGGAATATGACACCTTGCTACTTTCACACACAAAGCATGGACTCCCATAACTTGTCTCAAGTCTTTCAAATTGCACAAGGCAGGAAGAAGTATAACAATACAAGTAGAGTCAAAAGCATTCCCAACTGGAAATATTTCATAAAATAAATTCACAGCAGCCTCAAAGAGATTATTCTCGATGCAAGCATTCATGATGGCATTCCATAAACCACATCCTTGGGAAGAACTTCACTAAATAACACACTATAATTATAATACATTAAAAATCTATAAAAGTAATAATCAATAAAACTTACCTGAAGGAGAGCAGAGAGTTGGAGGCGCATGACGACAGGAATGCAGCCTGTGCAGGACCGCAGGAGGGTTCGCGCTGGAGGGCCCTGAGTTCGCGTTGGGGAGCACAGAGCGGCAAAACGGCAGAACAGCCGGCCACCGCTGATGCAGGGCCCCGAAGGCTGGACGGCGATGTGGACGGCTGAAGAAGGGTTCGCCCTAGCCCCTTGAGCACTTCAGCTTCTTTCGTTATGCGTATTTGGGTAAGGGGTGGGCTACTCGGTCGGGCTGTAGGTTGGGCTGGGAGTTAATTTTTAGATTTCCTTTTTTGCGTCGACACCCGGCGACAAAAATATAACTAAACTCTTTTAACATCGACAAGGCGACACAAATAATGGAATTGTACAAGGCGGGTCGGGGGATTTTAATTAATGTCATTTGTGTCCACTCTTCGATGCAAAATAGTAGTTATTTGCATTCACTTTAGTCAACACGAAAAAGTTTGACGCAAATAATACTTTTTCTTGTAGTGAGTTTCAGCTTGGGGTGTAATAGCGTATTATTGTTGTTATTATTATTATTAAGGACCATTATGTAAATACTTTATCTTATTAATATAAATACAATGCCAGGGCTACCACATTGGTAAGCCATTATTCTCATAATATTTGATGAAACGGTTAACGACACAAGAGGGGGGGTGAATTGTGTGTGTGTGCAACCGTGACAGTTTTTCGCACAATTCTAGTGTGGGTCCAGGGAAATGCGAAATAGTAAAGTTCACAAGGATTTAACGAAGAAAAATCCCTTGGCTTAAAGGGGTTAAAAAACCTCGACCTCCCTCGGAGGAATTTTCAACAACTTCACTAATAAGCCTTTTGTGGTTACAAGGTAAATTCTCCTAATCTACCCTTGAGCCACCCCAACTCTATCCTCTCTAGGAAGAGTTATGCATCTCTACCTTGCGGGTAGAGAGTCTCTCAGCTTTACAACAAAGCTCTCACACACACGACCCCAACCAGAGGAAGCTACACTTAAGCTTTTCCTCAAACTTCAATTACAAAACAAGGAAGAGAAAAGAAACTATATCTAGAACTCTGTAAGCAGGTCCAGTTGCCTTGGTCTTGATACTCTCTTATAAGTATTTCTCTCTTTAATTGTTCGGTCAAGCACACGCTATTCTCTTGATCTTCCGTCATATATATAGCTTCATGCAGGCCGTCTGTTGCTCTACTTTCTTTAGTTGGTTGCTTGGTAAATTTATGGACTTGCCTTGATATTAAGATACTTAAGATATTATAATCACGTATATACGAAAGTAGCATACCAATCACGGACAAGGAGATTATTTCATAAATGCAACGGCTCACTCAAATCATGTGTGATTAATTTAAGTAGGAATATTTCAAGCTTCTTAACTTTATTACCAAAGAAAACAAGTTGTGGCCAACTCTTAAAACGGCAGACTGTTATTCTCAATCTATGCAACGGATCAAATATGGAATATATTTCAAACAAGGATTCGTATAGCAAGAGAAAGAATTCACTTAACAAGTGTAGGTGCTATGGTCAACTTCCAATTATAATTCATGCATTCATATCAAGTAAAGATACTTTCCATAAGGTATTTAAGCAATATTTAAGGAGTGGATGTCAAGTCAAGTATGGAAAGATAATAACCACCTAAATAAGTACTCATACGTATATATAGAGTGGTCATGCATAGAAAGATACTTTTGCTTAAAATAATATTCTTGACAAAGTATAAGTACTCATATAAGGAAAGTATATAATTTGAAACTCAAGTAGGTGTGATCAATATTAATTCAAATCATATTACGGAACTAGAAATGGAGCTGCATTAGTTCCTCCTGCATGGTTAGTTAACAACACACTAATAATATCCATTTGGTCCTGAGGATAGTTCTTTCCTTTGTTCCGTAAGGAACTGTGAGCGGTTATATCCACCGTTCCACCTGCATGGTTAGTCATCAACAAAACAATCATATTCAACAAATTTTCCCTTTTTGTTGATGACAAACATTAGGTGCCATAATAAAGGTGTCTCTGCGGATTAGTGTCTAAACCAACACAACAAGGTCGAAAAGTAAGTGTAGCAGTACTAAGGAAGGAGGCACCTAATTATTTCTCCCTTTTGGCATCAACCAAAAGGAAACAGGAAATAACCAAAACAATGCCAGAAAGTAAGTAAGTGTAAGTATGATATCCCACCCCAAAATCATAATATTTGAAAGAAAATGTTTAGGATAGCGAATCAGTCTTCATCGGATGAGGGAATAATCCTCCTGTGGAGCCCTTCACCGTCTTGCTCAAACCTGGCTAGCACTTCATTTTGAAAAGATTTGAAGTCAGTACGTACTTCATCAAGGCGACTAGAAAGTGTGAACACCGATTCTGCCAATGAATCAAATCGGCGTAGCATAGTGAGATCCATAAGGTGTAGCTGTTCTTTGACAAGAGTAACAAAATGCATTGGGTCATGAGAGGCAGCAGGAACTGGCTTAGGTTTAGAGGTTTTGGACGAAGGAACTGGTGCAATGGTTTCCTTGAAGATGAGTTTAGAGTTGTGAACGGTGATGCCATAGCTCAGAAGACCCTTAGTATCAAGATTTTTGTGAATGGTGTGGTAAGGCAGATTGTCAAGAGAGATCCCAATTTTGATGAACAAGACTGTTAAGATAGTGCCAAATGGAATCCCAACCTTTCTAGCGCGATCACTGATGGTAAATTTGAGATGAGCAAACATAAGGCCAAGAAGGTTAATAGGGGTTTCTGTGGCTAGGAGGTACATATATGCAACTTCTAGCCTAGATGAAATCAATCTTCCTTCCAGTCGAGGGATGAGATTTGAGTGGACAAAGTAAAACAACAACTTGTGGATAGGAGACAGATTACTCACAAGAAGGGAAAGGCTGGTAGCATTTGGGTCAAAATATTTTATGGCATTTATCTGGGTCACATTTGACAGAGGCCACTCCTCCTTCTTGTAAGGACATTCACCAGAATAGGGAACATCTAACACCTTCGCTAGTTCTTTGATCGTTAAGCGTAGTTTGGTACCACGAACACGAGATACTAGTGCATTGTCTTTGATTATAAGATTAGCAAGGAAATTGGATAGACAGTCAGGGTAGATGGGACAGCAATATTTTGCTTCGAAAAGAGACCCCCATTTTTGAAAGACAATGAGTTCTACGAAATCGGTAGTTTGAGAGGAAAGTTCGGTGAAGGGTATAGTGATTACCTTTACGATACCTCTTTCCTGGTATGCAGCTTTGAGTTTGAGAGCATCTTCTTCCGCTACCTTCCCTAGTTTAGGAAATTTCTTGGTTGTTTGCTCGCCTGAGATGATACCTTCTGCAATGGCTCTCTTCCGGGTGTATTTGCGAGGCAGAATCTTCCCTTCGCGAGTGAGGGGTTTTTCTTTAGAATGTTTCGCCGGAGAGGGAGTGGCTGAGGATGGTGAGTTTCCTTCTTGTTCCCCCTTGGAAGATGCGAGGGCAGGTGGTGGTGACTCGGATTGTTCGTAGTGCATGGTTGAAGGAGGCAGAGATTCAAGATCTATTGGAGTGGGTGAAGAAGGTTTTGATGGCTGTGTGTTTCTTTTCCGACCCGAGCGTCGTAGTGCGGTCGGAGGAGCACACCCCATGGTTTAAACCATGGTGGGTTATGGAAGAGGGAAGGAAGAGTTTACGGAAGGTGGGCGAGTTTGGAAGTGGGCGGTTGCATAGATACCAAGGGATCTTTTACACTTCCCAAAAATAATCTTAATGATATCTTTCCAAATTCAATTTTATTCCTAATTGAAGGAGATGTCTGGTTGATTAGCTCCATTTCCAAAGATATTTGTTCACTTTTAAATACTTTGTTAAATTAGGTAGTTTAAAGATCAGTTCCATTGATAAAACTACTTGCTATTTTGGAATCTATGAAAATTAAGAAAGAAATATATTCCCCCTCAGTTGAAAAGAAAAAAAATTAAAGGAGAAAATAAAGTTAAGCATTGATAAGACCGAGTTCAAGTCGTATTATTTCAAACCTTTCTCTTCCTAGGGGCTTTGTAAAAATGTCAGCAATTTTCTTGTCGGTGTTGCAATATTCTAACTTGATTAGCCCCTTTTCTACGCAATCTCTCAGAAAGTGATGCCGGATATGGATATATTTTGTTCGTGAGTGCATGACCGGATCTTTTGAGATGCTGATTGCACTAGTATTGTCACATAGAATTGGCGTGCAGTTTAGGATGATCCCGTAGTCACTCACTTGTTGCATGATCCACAAGGATTGTGAGCAACAAGATGCGGCTGCTACGTATTCGGCTTCGGCTGTTGAAAGAGCAACTGAATTTTGTTTCTTAGAACTCCATGTAACCAAGAAAGGACCTAGAAAGTGAGCCGTTCCAGATGTGCTTTTTCTATTTAATAGATCACCTGCAAAATCAGAATCTGAATATGCAATAAGATTAAAGTCCTCATTACGTGGATACTGTTAGGAAATTGATGTAACGTACCTCGAAAGTACGTTAGCGGAAGTTTAAAATTTTCCCAAACAGATCTTCCCTGATTATGACAAAATAACGAATATGATAATAATAACAGATCTGAGTTATAACTTACAGATTTTCCAGCCTAGTGGTGATAATCCTTGACCTTTGGTATCCACGTGATTTCTCCTTTCTGATAGAACAGTTAGATCTCCCTAAAAGAAAGACTAGGAAATCTCTTCGCAGGGAAATAAACTGGTAATACTGAATCTGAAAACTGGTCACGAATTATGAAGGAGAATGGTGTATTTATACTAGTTTTAAACTAGTTTCCCAATCACAATGAAAATCTTATTCATTAAAGAGTTCTAATCTAATTAGGACCAATCTCATTTATTTAATCAAATAAATAAATAAAACAAACTAATCAATAATATGGGGGGAAGTGGGCTGCACGCCACTTTCCACCCTTACTATATTATTTATTTTATTTTATTTATTAATTAAATATTAATTAAATAATATAAATAATAAATAATAATAATAATAAAATCACAATAAGAGGAAGGCTAGGGAGTGGCTTTAGCCGCTACCCTACCTTTACTCTATATATATTATTATTATATTATTTATTATTATTTTGATTTTTCTTTTAATCTAATTCCAAAATGTATTAAAAGAAAATATCAACCTTATTTAATTATAAATACACTTTAATTAAGTATAATAAATCTAATGTATTTTACTTAATTAATTCTATCAAATAGAACTCTCCTTCAATTTCATGAATTAAATATGTTTAATCTAATTATATTTAATCAATTTTC